GTAAAATGACTTCATCGTAGATCGATTAGTTTCTGAGATATAACCGGAAATGTTAAAGTGCAAAACCTACCGTTTAATCTCGCGAGAGCTACACTTGTCGGAATGTAGTTTCTTTGAAACGATAATTAAATGCCTAGGTAAGCTATCAGTTAATGACTTACCTGAATACCGTTACCGAAATGCGTCACGCACACAGCCTGACATATTCCTCTCAGCTCGGTCTCAGCTGGACCTCCGAGCAGCACCGGACCATTTCCATCGGCACTCCGATATAAAACAGCTCCTTGCGAAATACGAAAGTCCATCGCTCATTGTCCACTCGCGTAGTAATTCCGATGCTCTGTTCACTCCCAAGCCCCGGGGAGAACGCGAATGGCCGCGGAAACACTAAAAAGAATGGCTGTTCAGCGTTCACTTCCCTTTTTAATCACTAGACCAAGGCTGTGAATCAAGTGGAAAGCGCGACGCGTAGTAGACATGCGAATCGCCCGGGGTGGCGCCGAGGGGTGTAGATCTAGTTTGCGTCAGGTGTACCGCCCGGCGCTCTCACGTTTGGGCTAAATGACCGTCAGTCACCCAAAATGCCACCCAAGTGCCAGGTGCGCACGAGAGGTCTGTGGCGCGGGTAGACGACACGACAGAAATGCCAACGATCTGGGAATGGGCGTAACTAGATACGATAAGCTTACTTACACTACGTAATTACGAGCGAGCGAGCGCAGCGAGCGAAGCGAAGTCTTTTCAATATAACGGAAAAATCTCAGTATGAGCGGCCCGGCCCGGCCCGGCCCGGCCCGGCCCGGCCCGGCCCGGCCTGTAACGCTTTTGAGAGGCTTATATCTCAGCAACCGCTAGACCGATTGGCCTGCGGTCTTTTTTGCTGGGTAGCCCCATCCCTTCTACCCCGTAATTGACTACTTTTGATACATCTCAGTGACCGCCGTGGCACGTGCCACGTGAAAAGTCAAGGGTGTTCAAGCAGTTTTGCAAAAGTAATGATTTTGAGAGGCCCATATCTCAGCAGCGGCTTGAGCGATTGTCTTGCGGTCATTTTTATAGGGTAGCTGCATCCCTTCTACCAAAGGTCGGATACTCTTCATCTATGTGAGTGACCCCCACTGCACGTGCAAAATACAACAATAAGAGGTGACAAATTTGTTCCCATTTCAGTAACTCGGTAATTACTGGGGCGATTTCGCTGAAACTTGGCATACAAGTAGGCACCCACCAGGCAATGCATTCCCATGTGTTGCGGTTAGGGTGCTACTGCACGTGCGCACGTGCAGGGGGCGTTTCCAGATCTCGAGAACGGCTGGGCCGATTGCGCTCAACTTTGGTACACGGTTGGGGACCGTTTAGTAGGGTGCCGTGCAAAAGTCATTTTGGACCCCGTTTGCACGTGCGCACGTGCAGAATGCCGCTTTCAGATCTCAGGAACGGCTGGGCCGATTGCGTTCAAATTTGGTACACCGCTAGCGACCGGTTAGAAGGGTGCTTTGCACAAGCCCGTTGGAAGTACCCTCTCGCCCTTCTGCACGTGCAGGGCTCACTATCTCGCTCGCTCGTTCTTCGCCCAAAAGGCGTTTTACTGGTTTTATTCCCCAGACATTTTTTTTTCAATGCTCGGAACGCGCCGCAGGCCATTTTATGTAGAGAGATGAAAGTTGAAACATCTGACTTTTGATTCAAGGAGGAATGAGGATGTTGTAACACCAACCACATTTTCAGGTCAGGTCAGGTCACTGACCTAAGTGTCATAAGTGAACCTCGGCGCGGTTCTAAAATAAAATATCACAGCTTCAACACCCTCTGCGAGAGAGGATCTTCCAACCCATGGGTGGGAAGATCCTCTGCAGGGAGATGAACAGTCAGTGCTTAGTTATCTTCCATGACCTCGGCTCAAAACCTTTACGACTGAGGTTTTCCTAAGTCATAAGTGTCATATGAGGCCAGGTCGGTCACCTGACCTCACCTGACCGTTTAAGGTCAGTAGGGGAAGGATTGGAACTTTTATTTTAATTTTTAGTAGGTAGGCATAGGCGCGGGAGCCGGGGGGGCAGTGGGGGCAGCTTGCCCCCCAACTCTGGGGCCGTGGGGGCGGTGCCCCCACAGCTTTGAGACGGAATACCACACTTTTTTGCAAATGTTTTCTTTTTTTTGTTGAAAAAGCCGAGGGGTGACAAATAAGTGGCCTAAAACCGGTGAGAAAACTAGATTTGGGGGTACCCTAGGTTAATCTCTATTATGGTGTGCCCCCCCAGTCGGAAAGTAGTTCCCGCGCCCCTGTAGGTAGGTACCGAAAATATTTTCCGAAAATATTTAAAAAATACATTCCGTCTTAGATCATATGATCTAAGACGGAATCGTCGTTTCATACACTCGTGCAAGGGTTAACCCTCGCCGGACCTATTGGTTTTCTACATACGCGCCGGCCGAGGGGGGGGGGGGGGGGGGGGCGGGTACGACCCCCCCTCGCCGTTTCGCCCCTGGTGGAGCTAGCGCGTCGCGGAAAAAACGAGCGTGTGCGCCGTTACGAGACGCAGAGATTGGTACCCGATTTTAAGGTCCTAGGTCAACCGGTGACCTCTGAGGTCAGGTCAAGTGCCCCAGGGTACGGTTCAGTTTTTGGTGAATAACTTCGCAAAAAACGGCCGCAGAGCCGCGATTTTGGCAGCATCGTGTTCGCCTCGCTCAGGCGCGTCGAATGATATACTTTTTGCCCGGGTCAGGTCAACTTGAGGTGTTGACCTCAGGTCAAGGTCAGGTCAGCACCCCCAGGTCACGAAGTTGGTCGAAAGGGGTCATGTTGCATATCATTCGATTCGGCAGGTCTTCCTGAGTCCATTGGTGGCTTTCTCGACTCGCTAGCTCAATTTGATCAAAAGTTATTGACGAAAAACTAATATGACCTTGATGACGTCATAAATGACGTCACGCAAGGTCAACATTGCAAAAGTGACGCATCTAACATTGCAAAGAGTGCATCACGTCACGATTCTGTGTGCTTGAGATAGTTGGAGATCGTTCCCGGCGCCAGAATAGCAGTTTGAATTTTTCCCCATTGACTTATAATGGTGAGGTCACGAAAATGACCTGACCTCATATGACCTTTAGGAAAAATCCGAGATATACAAGTTGTGAGACTCATAATGGATACTAGATCCTGCAAGTTTCATTTCCCTGTGACATCTCCTCTGGCAGTGAGGGCGTTGCGAAGTTGCGACATCTGAAGACCGTGCAGAGGTTCACTTATGACGTCATAGGTCAGTGACCTGACCTGACCCAAAAATGCGGTTGGTGTCAAAAGATGCGGCTTGAATCAAAGGTCAGGTATGCCAAGTTTCAGCTCTCTATCGCCAGCGTGTTCGGAGCTATCGCGAAAAAACCCTATGGGGGGGCGGCACCCGCCCCCCCCTCGGCCGGCGAGGGTTAATACTAATGCTGTATTGCTGACTTGTGTGACATCATATTCATGACCGGATAATGTTCAGCCAACCATCGACTAAATGACCGTTTTCTATATACCGTTTTGTACTTTATAACGTCACATATGAATTCATCGGAGTTTTCGTCAATAACTCCCGACCAAATTTAGCTAGAGAGTCGGGAAAGTCACCAATGGACTCGGAAAGACCGTGAATCGAATGATGGGTATGCATGTGTCAAGACCTCTTCCGACCAACTACGATCTGAGTGGTTCCGTTTTAAAGGGACACTCCCACCTTAACATTAGTTTTGAGTTGAGATAGCCAAATTGGTGGCCATGGCCTGCAAATACCGGTTTGGGCACTCACAACATCGACAAATGCTTTAATTCGGAGATATGGAATTTCAAACTTGCAGTTTTCGGATTCTAAGGGGCTAGTGCATTGGTATGCCCCCTTAGAATTTGTGACGTCAGCGTAGATCTAACGATTTTTAAATCTTTTACTAAAACGTTTGGTAGCACGCGGTGGTATATGCTGCTTTGCGCGCAACAAATGCCGCACTTTCAAATAAAGTCGCTAGGAACAGCGGAGATCCCAAAAAGTAAACAAAAGTAAAAGTCTAATATCTTGAAAACCGGTGAATATTTTTCGATGAAATTTGGTAGATATTCGTTTTCGCTCTTTCTGAACCGAGCGACATCACTTTCGTGCCAATTCATTAACTTTTTTGAAGGTGGGAGGGTCCCTTTAACCTGACCTGACGTTGACCTGGAACCAATAACCTAACTTGTAAGTTGTAATGCCCGAATGTGTCCAAATCGTAGCTTTGCGACCATTTTTGGCGAAGTTATTCATCAACAATTACTTCCTTAATTACTTCCCTGACTCGGAGGGCTTGACTTTTAGGTATATGCCATGAGTTGACCTGAGACCTTAGAATCGGATACAAGTCATTGCATCAGCCATCTCGTAACGGTCATGTTTTTCCTGGCGGGGCTCTGCCTGCCCAATCGGCTCAATTAGGAATGAAACGGACGGCAAGGGGTTCCATCCGCCAACCATCCGCTTTCCCGGCTTTCCCTTCAGGTCTCGGCCCCGGTAGGTATGTAGAAAACCATGGATACCTACCTCAAGGTCCGACTTTGAGAGCGACTCGAAGTCGTCTCGAGTCGAATCGAGACTGAAACGAGGGGCAGTTCAGGCAGATTTCAATAACAAGAAGAACCAGAGCCAGCCAATGCACCGACTGCTAGGACATCAAGGAATTCCTTTATAATTGAAATATGGTAGCTGTACGAAATGACTAACTGTTACAGAAAAGGCGCATATGTGACATTTCATCATAGTAAATTTTGTGTCTGTTCAATTGTATAACCTCGTCAATAAGAGCCGCAGATTTCCATAACAATATGTTTTCTTTTGAAAAAAAACATGTTTTTCTTATATTCAACTTTGAAAATATTTGTATTTCTATAATGAGATGTGTGATTTATTTTGGGAACTGTGTTCCAAACAGTTTTTATTCAAAATGCAAAAGCAAGGGGCACATAAGGGGCATTTGACGTCAGCTTTGTGGAAGCTAGAGCCTTGAGTTTCGAACATGATGCATGCGATCACATACGAGAGTGTTGAAATCAAAACGACATCATATTAAAAATAATAAGTTAAAATTAAAATTGAGGAATGCAGGGTGAGGGTGAATGAGAGTTGAAAACTGAGAGGTGATGTATCCCTTATATTGGCTTATATGGGTCAGTGAGGCTAACGAAGCTTAGCAACTAGCGTTTTCATTGTAGTTAATTAGAGCTAATAATCATCACAACATCTTATTAATGTTTTTTCCTAATTATTCAACACTTCCCATTTTTGTTCAGTTTGAATCATTCAACTCAACTACTTAGGGTGCAATGCTGTGATTTATCAATCGATTGGCTCATGAGTCATGCAATACAAATTGGCCTGAAATGGGAACAGGTTGTTGAGGTCGGAGCAGGTTTGTTACATCAACATGACATGAAATACAAGGCCACAACCCATTATACTACCTACAGCCATATACACAGAAGTGTGACACCTGCTTTACTACTACAATTCAATGCAATGTTTTGTTCATACCATCACTACATTACTGCACATTATGTTATGTTATGCTATCTGTGTGTTAGGCATATCAGTTAGGTAGGTGATTACTTAGTGATGTGTTGTAGAATAAAGCCCAATTTAGTGGTTACTGGTCAGTCATATTGCTTTCACAGCTCACATTTCTCCCACAGCCATCAGCCCTTTACCCATGTGGTGGTATCTTGACTCAGAGCAACACCAGAGTCACAGACTACCTACCTATTTGATTGGCTGTCCTACACGGGGCAGCTCCTTGTGAACAACCAAAGTCTATTGTATCCACTTGCGTAGTTCTGATGCTATTGCTATTCTCAAGCAGGGAAAACATTATTGTATGTAATGTTTTGTTGGGCGTTGAAAATTTGACCCATTCTGTTGACACAGCCAGCAAAGTGTTATAGGAGAAATAACCAGCTGCTGGTCAGTCAGAAAAAGGCACCATCTGAGTCTCCACTGATCTGGGCAGTGATCTGCTCAAGTCTGAGCCAGTGTCACAGAAAGGCTACAATCATACCAGTCTTTTTTGTCAGTACTTGTGAGAGTAAAAATAGTTGTCAGTAAAGTGACAAAGTAACAAAGTAAAGTGTCAGTAAAGTGGCAATGGCTGATTGCTCAATGCCCAACACCAAACTCCCCAGTGGGCATCACATTGTTAATGCTGGGACAATGGTGGTGCAGGTTAGCATAGGCTTTGAGCTATCCTGATTCCTGTGTAAGTGTTTTAGCAGATTAAAAGCTTTGTTTTGTTTTTCCTTTCCTTTCAAGTTGTAACATAGGTACCAACTCAGTTGGTTTATCCACAGGTGGGATAAGGTTGTGAATCAAATTTTTGTTATACTTCAAGATGGCTGAAATTCTAGAAGATTTGATATCAGTTGAGGACCTGAAGGTAAATCCCTGCATTGTCATGTTACTGTGACACATTTGTATATCATTCTGGTCACTTTTTAGATTTAAAGGACATCAATTAATGTATGATTGTATTTTGTAGGAAGTTCAGAAGTTGTCTTTGCTCTTTGCGTAGTCTAAAGCTGTTTTACAATTTGCAAATAAAAAGTACCTACCCATCTTTGCTGCATTTATTTGCATGCTATCCATTTTTGTGTGCTTTGGTCCAATTGACTTTGTCTGTGCTTTCTTGATAACTAGTGAGCATCAGACACCACATGACTTCCCCTTCCCAGGTGTTTGAGCAGAAGTACTACGAAGAGCTGCGCGCAGAGAAGGGCGCAGTCAGCGAGTCGACTCAGTTCCAGTACGCCTGCTGCCTGGTGCGCAGCGGGTACGCGGCAGATGTACGCAAGGGCATACAGATGCTCATCTCACTCCTGAAGACGCCCAGCGCCGGTGGCGGCGGGCAGGACGCCGCGCAGAGAGACTACCTGTACTTCCTGGCCGTGGGCTGCGCCAAAGTCAAGGTGGGGTAGAGCCTAGAGGTAACAGGGAATGACCCTTCCTTCTGGCCACAGGATGTGCAGAAGTTCAGAGTTCAGATAGGCGAGTGGTGGCTGGATGGCAATCACGGAGGCTGGACGGGAGCTGCGTTTGTAGAAGCAGTGATGAGGAAAGAGATGATACCATGAATAGCTTTTACCTATGTAGGTGGATACACCTGCTTTGAAACCCTGTCAGTAGAGACTTCAACGAAGAGATAGGACATACAGTTGGATACACCTGCATTTTTTTCAATGTCTGATACCGCTCAAGACACGGAGGTGCTGAGCTGTGCATGCCGTTTTATTTCACCAGGAGTACGTGGATTCGCTGAAGCACGTCCGTAAGCTGTTGGAGATGGAACCGACCAACCGGCAGGCCAAAGATCTGGAGAAGGTGGTACAGAAGAAGATGGAGCGAGGTGAGTGCACTGATTTGGGAGCGGAGGGAAGAGGTGACGTGCCTGGTAGTGGTATCTTGAGGGCTTCCTCTCGCCAATCAGCATCTCATCTCATCACATGCCTCTCTTGCTGATTTTTTTCCGGCTTTATGTTGTTAGATTTGTGACGTGAGACACGGTACCCTACTGTGGTGTCTGATTCGTTGACTGTCGTCTGTTTCGTTTCCCAGAGGCGTACATGGGCGCGGCGGTAGCCGGCGGAGCGGTACTGGCGGTAGGTGGCATTGTCGGCCTGGCGATGGCGCTCACCAAGCGACACTAGTCGGCCGCGGTGAGAAACGAGAGTGCGTTCTACTGCCGACAGATGGCAGGGTGGGCGCCTGTCAGCCGGCATGCGCCGAGCATTTCTGAATGTGGCGAACGAGCAAACGACGTGAGAGCTGGTATGTCTGAACGACTGGGTTGTGCTTGTACTCGGCTGCCGTTCAATTTGATGATGTCTTTCGGCGAAGCACCGCTTTTCCGACCGCACTCAATAACTGAAGGGGGATGCTGGCCCTGAAAGCGCGACACGGGGCTTTATGTGGTTTGGCCAGGTCGCGTTTTAAATGCGAGGTACGGTTAAAGATCTATCGTGAGTGTTGTCATATTATATTTATAGTCTTTGTATGGTTTGTTCAGTTGTATCAATTATGGAACAGCATATGTTACTGTACTGTGCTGTTCAAATATAATTTTAGACAATGATGCGATTTCACGTAACGCGGGTCTATTTGAGACAGTGCCCCACTTTATGCAGTGGTTTAGTAAAATCGCTATAAATGTAAATCGTTTCGATATTTTTTTGTCACTTTTGCTCAGGCAATTCACCGTTTGAATCCACACCAACCTAAGCAAAAATGACAAAAAAATATCAAACGGTTTTCATTATATAGCGATGTTACTAAACCACTAAATGCGCTGTCAAATAGCTCCACCGGTATGCGTTTTACGTATCCCATGGTGAAATGAAAGAGACGACAAATGAATCCTGATATGGAACTGTCGTTAGAGAAACCCATTCATGTCATTCACATTCGCGATCATCACGGCTACACTCGTGGAAATACGATAATCCACGCTGAATGTATTGATAATTAATAGATGCAGGTTAAATATGCATATGATTAAGTAATTCGTCTAGATAACCTTAGCTTATCTGGGTGGGAGTATGATGTCGAATTAGGAAGTGACCAGTGTACTGCGCAGTGCACATAATTAGATTCTGTGCATTGTGCACATAATAGGTTCTGAAAGTATACCGCACATGGCCTTTATGACCGAGGCCTTTATGGCCTTTGGGTCCTCTACAATAGGTTTTTCCTTTTATCGAGCTTATTATTTGGTGCATACTTACCTGACACGAGACACTGAAGGTCATGCGAGGTTTGAGCTCCAATAACCTTTTGATAAATCCAGTTCCCTGACTGATTTTTTTTTATTCATTAAAGCCTTGCGCACTGCTCTATTATGCCCACAGTTCATCAATGTAAAACACAGTTCTACGCATTTCCAAGAAAGAATTTCTGTCACAACCCGCTGCAGCACTTTCGCGACGCAAACATTGGCGCTTAGAAAGTTGTTATCCCAGCAAACATGCCCACATGGGTCCCATATGGGGTGAACATGGGCCAGATGGGCCCACGTGGGACATGGGCTACAGATGGGATACCCATATGGGCCCCATATGGGATAAAAATGGGCCAAACGCATGTGGGCTGGAGATGGGCATCCCATGTGGGTCCCATATGGGGTGAGCATGGGCCAGATGGGCCCACGTGGGACATGGGCTACAGATGGGCTACCCATATGGGTCCCATGTGGGCGCCGCGTGGGTCCCATATGGGGCCTACGTGGGCTGGCCCATATGGGTCCCACGTGTCACCCACTGCCATTCCCATGTGGGACCCATATGGAAGAGGTGGGGGGCCCATGTGGGCCCCATATGGGAACCATGTGGGCATGTTTGCTGGGATGAAGTACCCAGAACGGCGCTCACTGCTCACTACCCACCGTAGAGACCGTCCAGAATGCATATAACTTATAAGGTTACATAAGCACTCTGGAAAGTTGAGTAGGCAAGACGTAATGTGGCGAATCATTACTTAGTGACACTAATGTAACTGTTGCCGGCTTTTGAGAACTTCGTGTAAGGGCCACAATCCCCATAAAACCGTTCCTCAAAGTTCAGCCACAGTAAGCCAGAGCAGCTACAAGGCAGCCGGACCTGGTCGTAGCACGCCGTGGCAGGGATCCGGACTTGAGCCGGACTTGGCGGTCCGAAACCATACCAACTCCGGAGCGCTACGGCAAGGACTGGCTGACCGGAATTGAGCCATATCGACCCAAACCCCCTGTTCCGACGGCGTTCTGTTTACACTGGCATGTCGGAGTTGCCGGGGCAAAACGGACTTGAGCCAAACCACACTGCTTGCTGGGTTTAACTATTCCTAAAAGCTTGGCCTGCGCTATTGGATAAAGACGAAAGCACTAGTATGTCAGAGCTTTGGGAACACAGATCGTGTTCTGTAGTTGTATAAAACTACATAATTGTGTGCATTGGGTGCTGAGCTGGGTGCATGTGTCTACCCAATTCAGGTGAGCTGGCTGACGATCCAGTCGATGTAGGCCGACACCTTGGTGTAGAGGCCGGGAAACTGGGGGTTGCCGCAGCCGACGCCAGTGGAGACCACGCCCACCAGCTGGTAGGTCCCTCGGAAAGGTAGCCGGGTGTCACCTCGCGGAGCGCTCAGCACCATCAGCGGGCCGCCCGAGTCGCCGCGGCACGCGTCGCGCGGCTCGCCGTCCCGGCTCTCGGCGCACACCTTGGTGCCCTGGAAGCCGCCCGGGAAGCGGCGCTCGAACTGCGGCACGCGCCGGTAGGCGGTCTCACAGACGGCCGGGTCGGTGACGCGCAGCGGCGCCTCCTGCAGTATGTCCGGCGAGTGGCCGTTGAACTCGAGCAGGCCCCAGCCGGCCACGGCCGCGTCCCGGCCCAGGTGGTCGGCGCCGGCCGGCGGCAGGCAGATGGGCTGCACCGAGTCCGTCAGCTCCACCGGCGCCGCCAGCCGCACCACGGCCAGGTCGTTCTGCGCGCCCGCGTACTGCGGGTGGCGCACGATGCGGGAGACGTTCCGCTGCTGGTGCAGCACCTCGTCCGGCAGCGTCAGGTCGTGGTCGGCGATGCGCGCGCCCACGGTGCCGGCCTCCTCGGGTCGCAGGCAGTGGGCGGCCGTGAGCACGTGGCGGTCGGTGATGAGGGTGCCGCTGCAGAACCAGCCGCCCAGCCCGGCGTCCGTCCAGCGGCCGAACAGCACCATCCACGGCCACCGGTGGACCAGCCGGCCGCCCGGTATTTCACTGACCAGGTCAACTGGGGTGCCACCGATTACCGGACGCGGCGTAGTGAATCGTTCAACTTCAACTGCTACCATCTGAGACGAAAGAAAAGGTTTCGTGGGTCTTCTGCGATGGACTTGGCGACGCGAGCGTTTTTTAGCTGTCAGGGGCTCTAGCTGAAATATCTGCTTGCCACATTGCTTCGGCAGAACGGAGGGCGGCCTTTCGGCGACCTGACCTTCACTATCGCAGCACACAAGCGGAACCCTCCCGGAGAAACCGCAGAGGGTCGGCCTCTTACGCAGGATGTCCTCCCGCGTCCTGAAGGCGGAACAGTCGCGGATGTTGACACACTCCTGAGTTCCTGAGCATCGTGAACCAAAACTGGCTGGCTGAAGAAATGCTTCGCCGGGGGTGGGACGACGGCCGGGCGCAAGGTCCGGAAGGCGGCCGGGTGTGAGCCCGCCGGCCAGGTCAGGAAGGCGGCCTGGTGAGGGCCTGGCGATGTTGGGTAGACGACCTGGTGAGGGCCTGGCGATGCTGGGTAGACGACCTGGCGATGGCCTGGCGACGGACTCTGGTCGAGCGGCAGACGACAGAAGAGCGGAGAGATCACTGTCCGACAGATCAGCTATCGATGTGGCCCTAGAAAGTTGCGCAGCCGAAGGCACAACCTGTGCGGTAACCGCCACAAAGGCCACCAGGAGGAGCACACGGCGCTCCATGCTGCTGCTGTGGCCGCGGCGGCACGACTGGCTCTACCGTGGGAGCAGAGGGTCTTCTTGAACCTGGCGACTGCGCAGTGACGACTGGCGAACGCCCCAGGAGTCTCTGGCCGGAACGAGACGGCCGCAAACCGGTCTTCCCAGGCGCCGCAGGCGGTGCTAATAGATGGCTTCGTGAAGGGGAACGATCGCGACTGGAAATCCCCAGCGCATAATTATACCCTGTTAGAGGTAAACAACCCAAGCGTCATACGTTATCCGCGGTGCCACGCAGGAGGCTGTGTGACTGCCCCATACATTGAAATGATGCCAGTGTGGATTCATATCCCGCGCCGGTCTGGGAGTGAGCACCCCTCCCCCTCAGGTTTTTAGCACACCTGTTCATACATCTTTACCGCACATATTGTGAAAATTTTAGACCTATGTCATTCAAGGTCAGGTCCTGATCGGTATTGGAATTGACATGCTTTTGGAATGCACAATTAGAGTGCTGTTCAGTTTGACGAAATAAACCCTGCACTTATTGTAGTTTCTTTCCACGAGTTGTCTTGTCCATATGCCGTGCGGCTCTGACGGTGCCCCCGTGAAACTTGCCACTAAGTTCATGACTGAAGCAGCTAAGAACTGGTCTGTGACCTGCTGACTCGCACACCTATCCGTGCTTCTGTCCTCAGGATACTGAAATCCTTCTCCTCCACGCCACAACCCCCCTCCGGGCTGGACAGGCAACTTTATCTCATGCGGGCTGCTCCCTTGGAGCGGCACCGCTGCTCCCGAGGGAGCGCACCCCGTAGCCGGGTGCAGTGAGTGCCTTGGGGCTGGGTGGCCTGTCCTCTGGACGGGCTCAGCCCCGGCGACTCACTACGGTGCCTGCCCAGACCAATGTCTCCCCCTAATTCCTATCATCCTTCCGGCTCTGCAATGGTCTTGTCAGACCGAAAGGGCCTAACCCAACAAAACAACAAAACAAACTGCTGACTCGGATTAGATTCCGTGGACGCCTTGCATCAGACGATCGGACCGCTCGGTCCAGGCAGCGCCGAGCGACTATCCCATGATCAGCGTTGCAGTTTAACTGCGGGCGTGGATCACTTCTCGCGCCGTGTGATCACCGCTCGGGGTCGGCCGGCCCGCAGCGCAGGGACCGGCGACCCGACGTGGCGCAATGCTTGGACGGCAGCTCGGGAAGCTGCGACTCATCACGGGTTCGTCAGTCATCTCGACGCGCGCGTCTGACCGGCCGGCCGGCCCAAGATTCCTTCAGATAGGCCGACCGTCATGACCGGCTCCTATACTGGAAGGCCGTATCAAACGGATAATGTCCGGAGTGGGCTGCTGCGAGGCCTTAGCACGAACTGTGCGGCGTCTGAGGCGATGCAACATAGGGGTCGTCTGTCATCGGGGCGCGCTCTACCGATAAGGAAACGTCAGACCGTGCTCCGAATGATGAGCGATGAAAGAAGTGGTCCGTTCGCAGCGCGAGCCACCTATCAGGATATAGAAAATGAGTAGGTACCTTCATGCATCCTATTTACAGAAAGTGACGTTGATCGCCAAGCATGGCGATTGGTGGTGCTGTATTTATAGGAACAATTTCGCTTGTCCCTCGGCAGAGCGTAGGGTGAAAGCAAACAGCTGTATA